AATTCATTATGCAATGAATAAAGCTAACTTTTTTTATTTAATAATTACAAAATGAATGCACTTTGTTGGTTGCATTGCACACCTGATTGAACTGGTGTACTTTAGATGTCAACAGATGCTCATTAATATATGTCCACAGTTCGTTGCAACGCTAGTTTTACTGAAATAAACTGTTTTAAATTAGCTCAGAGAAAAGCAGTTCTGTTCAAGAATCATTTAAATATTCAGAGTAATGTGTAAAAATATCTTGAAAGCCATTATGTATTTATTTCTTCCTCTTTTAATATTGCAACGCAATAAAAGTAGAAGTTCGTCTTCAGATACATAGATAAGAGTAAAAGAATGAGAACGTGTTTGATGGAAAATAAAGTTTGTACAAAGTCAGTAAAGCTGTTACTCAAGAGCACTTTAACGGATTACAAAAAAAGTTTGCTGTCTTGAAAGGAAAGATTAAGAGAATAAAAAATGGCTCAAAACATATGAACATTAATGTACTGTTTTATTTTATTTTTTAGTTTTTTTTTTAGTTTTTAGAAATTTCCTGAAAACTTATGTCCACCTAGAAATACCACGAAGAAATGAAATTCTAGATGAAAAACATCAATTCATTTCAGGTGCCACAACCACATAGCTTATTTTAAAATTAATTAAATAGATTTTACATTTTGTTAATGATTACTGCACAACATTTATTTGAATGTAACATTATTTTTTATCATTCTGTTGAGATTCTGTTAAAATTTTAACTGGTTTTGGAAGAATTTGAACATTCAAGCATTATTTTATTTAAAATATGCACATCTAAATTGCAGATAAACCAGATTATTTTAAAGCCATGCTGTGTTGGTAAAAGTTTAGTGGTGCTTTTTGTAGTGGATTTATTCCTAATTCTTGGCATATATTTTTCAGGTGGGCAGTTATTCATAATAATAATAAAAAAGATCAAGATTTTCTTCTGCAGTTTATCACCACCACTGATATATCATCTAAATTATTTTGGCAAATTGATACAGTATATGCAATTCAATTCAAAAATACTTTATTAATCCAAAAGGGAAATTATTTTATATTATATTATATATATTTATATTATTTTATATATTTTTAATTTTTATATTACTTTTTAAAATTAAATTATGACACTTTTCAGATGAGCAATGTGCTTCACATGTTTTAAGTTTATGTTTTACTATATCATTATATGATAATGATATAGTAAAAATATGGTTTGCAAATAATGCCATTCAGTTTTCACTTACCAAATGGGATTTTATTTTTCTGCAGAAAAAGTGTAGAATTTTTAATCCATCCCCCAAAAAATTCCTAATATTGAGCTTTGAACACTTCTATTAATTGTAGAATATTATCAAATCTGTTCATTTTTATTGTGAAAAGAAAACCATTAGACAATATAAAATATCAATAGTTAATAAATTACATTATATTTATGCAAGATAATCTAATATGTCTATTGCTTGACAGGTCAACATGTCAGCTCCTTGAACACTTCTAGCTCCTCAGCAAAACAAACAAGCAAACAAACAAAAACAGTAAGCAAACAGCTCAGTCTGAGCAGAAGGTGCTGTGAAATAATTCAATTTAATTCAGTTTATTTATACAGCACCAAGTCACAACAGAAGTTGTCTCAGGGCACTGAACAGAAACATTCATTCATAAAAATAATAATTAAACATGATTTATCTGAGGAGCAGACTGCTTTGAGATTAACTCTATCACAGAACTCTCATCTTGAGCATGAAGGCGACAGTGGAAAGGAAAAACTCCTTCATGAGGAGTTTTGTATTGAACGCTATTTGAATCCTTCATGAGGAAGAAACTTTTAGCAGAACCAGGCTTAGGACAAGCGGCCATCTGCTTCGACCAGCTGGGTTTGGTAGGAACAGATACACAATAACAGGTCAAGAATTGCATATTAAGATAGAAATAATATCAAATGAAAACTATTCAGTTTTAAAAATTCATTTAAGGAAATGAGGTCAATTTGTCCTCCAGTAGGCTAAGCTTAAGACAGCATAACAAGCCAATCCTAATTATAGCATTTATCAAAAAGGAAAGTCTTAAGCCCAGTCTTAAAACTGGATCATGTGCCAGATTGGAAAATATGGAACAGAAAAACAGTAATAAGGTCTATCTATATGCAATAAATATAACTATAAATATAAATACAACTGTGTATCATCAGCATAACAATGAACATTTATCCCATGTTGTTTAATAACATTACCTAATGGAAGCATATATGAGGTAAAGAGTATTAGTTCAAGCACTGAACCCTGAGGAACTCCATGACTAACTTTGGTGTATGATGAAGATTCATTATTTACATTTACAAATTGGAATCTATCAGATAGATATGATTCAAACCAATTTAGAACAGTTCCAATATCATATTCAAGTCTCTGCACTAGAATATTATGATCAACTGTATCAAATTCAGCACTGAGGTCTAACAGGACCAGTGTAGACACCTGTCCATTGTCAGAGACCATGAGAATATCACTAGTAATTGTCATCAGTGCAGATTCAGTGCTGAGGTGAGCTCTAAACCCTGTCTGAAACTCTTCAAGCAACAGTCAACCTCCCAAACAGTAAGTTGCACCCTCACACACATGAAGGAAGCTGCCTAACACAACAGGTCCCACAGAGTTTTAACACACTGAGACGACTTTTTCTTTATTCAGGTAAATGCAGGGTTGGCTTGTCTTTTACACATACAGATTTATGGCTCTCCATCCACGCAAGCTAAATTTAGAAATCCAATTCACCATCTTTGTCATTTAAACCAGGACGGAATACCAATATACGTGATGGTCCTCTTATAAACAGCACCTCTAATTCTCCTTGAAATATTAGAAGGGCATTTTGTCTCAGAGCGGCCCACGTGGGGATTCTCCAACAGTCTCGTAGAGCTTGGAACGCTGCCATGTGGCTGGGGATGCTTCATTGAGTTTAACAGTAAAAGGTAAGAAACATGCACTTGTGTAGCCCTTTACAGCTTGCACAACACGTGACTCCTTCAAACCTTAAACATGTTTCAGTCCAGAATAAATGATCGTCATTTTTGAACAGACAAACCTAACTTTTCTATTTGTCCTATGCCAAATTTTGATGTGATAATATTTTCATTAGCATTTTCTTTCCACAGCAAAAAGGAGCCTAAACACATCTGATGTGCAACCACAGCATGGCCAGCTGATGTACAGCAAATTAATGTGAACCACATTAATTTGCACATTAACAACCACACAGTAGGAAAGCCCAGGTGTTAAACTGGCCTGCCTGCACTTTAGAGATGTCTGACTCATATGATATTTGTTTTATTACTTACAAAATACAAAATGAAGAAGGAGACCCTAAATTGTTGCTTGGTTAAAACACTGTATATAGATATAAAAAAAAAATAGGACTACATATGCTTTCAAACTTTTTAAAAATTGTACATGTATATGCATATTTTATAACACTGTCAGGACTTGGCAAACATAAATTAAATTAACTGAAAATGAGCATTTTATTGAGGAAAAATATAAACTTTTAAACTGTCAAACTCACTGCAAGAATACAATTGTTGAACTGAGAGGCTTTAAGTTGTGAATGTGCTAAACTGTGTGTTCTGAAAACCAGAGCTTGCTCTCAGGGAATATCCTGCGTAACATAAATTTGTAGTTGTAATATAAATTCAAATGGGACTCAAAGATAAAATGTATTTTTGATGGAAGGGAACGTGTGCATCAGAGCTACCTTGGGTAGTTCCTCAATCTGGTTGGCATCTAGGTAGAGCTCCTCTAGAGTCCTCTCAAAACTGAAGATTTCCTTGGGGACCTGCTGAAGGCTGCAGTGAGAGTAGTCCAACACTGAGATCACTTCCTCTTCACCACGGAAACAACGGCACGGCACCAGCCGGCCAATCAGCTTCCGTTTAGTGGTCATTTCCAGACACTGCACTGTCAAGACAAGAAGACAAAAAGACATTAAATACATTTCAGAGGGTCTGCAGCCCATGTGTAAGCATCAATTGGTTTCTTATAGCGGACTTAGTCGTTGTTCCTGTTGGTTGAGTGCATGTACCCGTAGTTTGATTAGAAACAAAATCAATTACAGATTTCAAAAAGCTTTGCGGAAAAAAAACAAACAAAGGTGGCATCAAAGTGTTTCTGTAGCAGTGATTTATGGTGCAGCTTCATTAAAAATCATGAACAGTACCTTTCCCCCAAAATATTCACTTAACTGACAAAACAACTCTACAAACTGTTACTGCTGACCAATTTTAGTGCCGTGCCATGAAATAAACCAACACAAAAATGAACACTTTCACACCTCTTAGGGGGAAAAAAGTGCTAAGAATTCTTTTGAGTGGAGAAATGACTGTTCCACAGTTAAATCAGATCAAACATGTACGTAGATCAGAAAAACACTGTAGACCAAAAGATCCTGCGATAAAATGGTGACCAGCTGCTTGCACATGCTGAACTGGGATTGACTCAGGCTTTCACACCCCTGCAGATGTGTGACAGCAGAGGATTAATGGTTGGCTGAAAAGATGGTGGTATATTCCACCATAAATCATCTTAAAAAGTACAGCAATTACTGGACAACTTCATTTTCAGTATAGTTCTATACCACGGGTCTGCAACCTTTATGATAAAATGAGTCATTTTTACACCTTCATTCAATAAATTAAACGTGTCCAGAGCCTCAAAAACCTGCTACAACTGTGATTATCAACTGATGGCCCATGGGCCACTTGATTTGTTGGAGGAAATTTTGTGGGCAGTAGGGGTGACATTATAAAGCTAAAAATATCTGATGATTTTTTTATTTTAGTTTTTATTTTTATTTTTATATTTTTACAGTTGACAAATGAAAAGACTAGATTTTTGTAAAGAAAGTGAAAATAGTTTTTTGTTTTAATTAAAAAAAAAAACTGTGAACTGTGCAGATCTATGTGATTTTTTTTAAATTGTGGAGAAAATAAGTATAAAAATAAGGCAAAAAGTTATTTGCAAAAGAAATGACATGAAAACAGCTAAAACTAGTACTTCTTTTTTTTTGTATAATGGCCAATAAAATTCAATTTTATGTTAGTTTTGTTCAAAGCTTGAAAGAGTCACTGCAGTGGGACCAAATAGTCACATGTGGCTCCAGAGCTGCAGGTTGCAGACCCCTGTTCTACACTCATAGCTATCACCCACCACAAAAAGGTGAAGGTGGAGTGCTACTGTTTCCACCTTATAGCTATATGTTCTCATGAAACACTGAATGAGTTTTAAACAATCATTTACATCTACAACGGATTAACTTTTGAAATGAATGCATTTCAAGATGGCCACCATAGCAATTAGATTTTAGCTATTACAATGATTGATATAAATTGGTTAATTTTGCAAGTATTGAGTTAAAAATTAGTGTTCCACTGTCTAAAACTGACCCCCACCCCACCCCCCACCCCCAAAAGAAGAAGAAAAAAAAAGCTCCAAGTGCTGCCTGATCCCTCAAGATCTCTGTTCAAAACTTTGCCATTAGCTCCTGGAGTATACTTTTATTTGTTAGTAAAATATGTCATAAATCAGCAAATGGATTTTAATGCATCTTTCAAAAGGCAAGTGAAAAATGACATCTGTATCATTTTAACTTTCAAATCAAGATGGCAGCCACAGCCAAGTGACCTCAGAAATAACAGAAATGCCAAAACTCAGCCAACTCCTTTTGCAGATAGAGATAAAAATTGATATTTGAACATTGTCCTTAAAACATACTTTAAGCACAACACACTGCATTGTGTATTGTATTAAAGTCTTGGCATTAACTTTTTGAGCTAACCCTTTTTGTATGGTAGCTAAATGTTTTATTAACGACTGAACAGAAGAAACTCACGGTTTAAAGCTGGTGGATGCACATTGAAGATATACATATACTGATATTAGTAAACAATGCATAAAAGGTATAAGTGGTCATTCCTAATTTTGAATTAATTCGCAATAAGTTTAATGTTTTCTATACTCTTAGAAATTAGAGCAGATGGACAGATGGATGAATTAAAGCCGAAAAGCAACAAACCAAACATCAACACAGTTCAGATTTACACGGCAGTTCAGGCAGATTTTAATGCTTTTCCTGCAGGTTCTTGGCTATAATAGAAAATGTTTATAAAAACATCCCGTCTGTTTACGGTATATAAAATAAAATGCTTTATGTTCAGCAATAATGGATAGAAGTCTGAGCTCACCTCTGCTTTAGCAATTTTCACGTTGCTCAAATGAATTGTGCACATGAATCAGTGTGTTTGAATAGATTGAACATTGTGTACAACAGCGTAGTGTCCTACGTTATATAAAATTTGCTAAGCCAGAAATTTATTCTAAAGCAGCCAAACTTTTCATTTACATAGGACACACATTTAAACCCAAAGGAAATACAGTAGTTTCTGGAGAATAACAAAGAGGTCTCTGCTGATCTTAACAAAGAAACATAACGCTGACTGATCAAAAAAAAAAATGTTAATCCGCAAAACTTTTGACTCCCCAAGTCGACAATAAAATGACGTGGTTGTTGATATAATCAAAGATTTACATTTCTGACAGCTCCACACCTGCTTTGCACCCAGTTGTAAATTTGAAGAAATGTCCATCGTTGCTTAGTCCTGAGAGGAACGGGGTCACCTTTGAGTTACCATGTGGACCAAGCAATGACGGACAGCCCATCCAACAGGCAGGAGATGGGACAGTGCCCTCACATCCGTGATTAATTTATATTGTATTTTGTTAAAACAATAATTCTTATAGTCTTTAGAATTTATGTCTTCTCTGAAAATGCTGTGCTTATAATGTTTTCTTTCATTTACCAATGAATTCCAGAACTTGTCATTTTTAATTCAACACAAAGTTCATCCATCCATCCATCCATCCATCCATCCATCCATCCATCCATCCAT